TTAAGGGTTTTTTGGCGAGCCAAACCACATCAAACCCGGTTAGCTCGAGTTTGATTGTGTTAAGAGTTTGAGTTAACATTTGACAGAACTCGCAAAAATTCTTTTGGTTTGGATATCTAATCAATAATAAAATCGTAACCTATAATCTATGATAGTGCTCGTAGCTCAAGTTGTTTGATTATTTCTTATATACTATAATTGTTATTCCTAATCTGAAATGCACATCCATGAAATAACGTTAATGTATAGATGGTTATTAAATCAAAATGGGTTTACCTTTTCACAAATATCTATTCCCACGTAAATGTATCGTCAAAAAGGAAGTTAATAAAGATCTATACAGTACAATATAGAATATGCATATCTACGATTAAAGTTATTTGGATCCTCGATTACTATTTTTTTATTATCAATTTTAAATATTTACTTTGTATTTTTTGCAAAGTTAATCCATTATCAATTTTTTTTATTTACAACTTATACCTATCCAAACCTCTAAAAAAACGAAGTAGTGACTAGGTACGATGGTACGAAACAGAAAATAAATAAACAAAGATAGAAATATTAACTTAATATCCAAACCAACCCACAAGTCCGTTTTGATGGTTAGGCAAACTCTGCCAAACCGGGTTAACTACATTTCTCGCCAAAACATCAAACCTCAACAAACTATAGTTAACCGGGTTAGCGGTTTTCTCGCCAAAAAACCCTTACTGTATTTTACATATTTTACATATGTAATTTATTAAATTTATTACATTACATTTTATACATATTTTGTACATTTTATACATAAATTACATGATATTTTACATGTAAATTAAAATATTTTTCTAGTTATCATCACTGCCTGTGTGAAAGATCTTAGTCATCATCTTTCATTATTTTTGGTACTTAAAATCAAACTTAAGTACTTAAGTATATCTTCAAGCTATGAGAAATCATACTGATCGTATGTTTTACCTAACTTTTGATTTCTGATATTCAGACCTGTAAAAAATAACATTTCGATCGCTATTATTTTATAACAAATTGTAATTTAATATTACCAGAGTAAGTAATGCAGTAGTTCTTTTACAGAATTAAGGACAACACAACAAGGTCAGGTATACTTCTATCACATACCAACAGGTGTTTCTACCTGGCATGATCCTAGAATACCAAAAGATCTGGCTCCCTTAAGCCTCGCCTTAGATCACCTAGGCCCTCTTCCCCCTGGATGGGAAATGAGGCAAACAAATTCCGGCAGGGTGAGTCAAAGATACATACATTTTTGGAGCCCGTACTTCTGCCACAGAATACCGAACGATCAGAATTTTAACTCTGAATTGGCGGGAAAATTATTATAGAAAGTAACTTATCAATTCATTAATGTATGAATATCTAAATGATTAGATAATAAATTAATTAATCTATAGGAAGTGAATTAATATACATATATGACGAGTTTTAATATGCAACTCTATGTTCTATAGAAAAAATATGATGTGAAATCTCCGAAAGAGATGAAAGGGGACCAACACTGAGTTATTATTCTGACTGGTAGGCATTCTGGGTTTCCTTTATGTTACAAATTTTTGAAAGAATACCGTCAAAAGTAAAAATAGACTCAAACACTTTTAAAACCTTTTAACCACCAAATAGGAAAACTTTGAAAAAGTAATTACGAAGTAACAATCTTTTGTCTTAATTAAATTAAAAGTTTAATTTATAAATAGACAATGTGAATACAAATATCAAATATCATACAAACAATGCATCTTTTACCTTGTATAGAATTGCATAATTTTATTTTAGTTCATGAATACTTTAACAGGCATAAAAATTATTCTGAAATAATATTCAACAAAATATTTGCATTCATTCAGATTAATGTTTAACTGAGTCTGTTTTTAGTGGCATATGATCATTTCCCATTTGTTTTTAAATAATTTCCTACAAAGGATTTGTTTAATTTAAAATATTTAACTTGTCATTTTTTTTAAGCCCCTCCAATATCTATGTAATAGATAAGATCATTCGTCAGGAGAATCACCAGACATGTTAGTTCTCATTAGTATGACATAGGCGAGAGGACAGGACATGTAGCTTGCAGAGTAGTTATCTTCCACAATGTTATTAATAAGAAATAAGTTCGAAACCGATCTATTTCTGTTTATTCTCCTGACAAATGATCTTAGCAAAGATTTTATAATTTATTTTTTTTAAACAAAACATATTTTATGCAAATTTTTGAAGCTACAAAAATGGAAACGGCTCTAAAAGATAAATCATTAATTTAATATGATATTTGCTTGATAATTTTTATCTTATACTTACTGCTTTCACTTTATATATTCCAATTAAGTAAAGAATGGTATGCAACATCTTCATCATAAAAATGGACATGGAGATATTTACAAAAGTGGAATTATATCATGGAGTATAAAACTTGAAAATATGTTTAAATCTTTTGAAAAATATATTAAAAAATAAATTACAATATATTTTAACCTATTTGAGGTAACCACTTTATCAGCCCAATCGATGACGGACATTTTTTATTAGTGCAAAAGAACAGAAAATATCAGAATTACACCACAAATGATATTCATACCAAAACTTATACGACGTAAAACATGATTCTGTTTTCGCCTTTTGGTGGGGATACCGTTCAATCCGTTTCGTCCAACAGCTTCACAGCCATGTGTTTATCAATTCTGTGATTATTGTTTACTTCATTGGAATATGTAAAGTGAGTGTACTGTTTCTGTTATTTAAAATTAATTTCGAATGATAGGAAATTGGGAAATAAATTTTATAGATATATTTCGTGGATCACAACAATCGAACCACGCAATTCACTGATCCAAGGCTAAATTCTCAAATACTCAACAACATCCTTCGAAGGGTTAACGTACCTGTTAGTAGCTCATCCACCACGAACACTCCAACCGTTTCCACCTCTTCGGCAACAACGACGGTTACTACCCCAGCGGTGACAACTCCCGCCGCACCAGCTGTACCCGTCACAAATGGTCAGGCAGCACCCCAAAACTCTGCACCCGTTTCTCCAAGAGTAAGGGTGACAGACGATCTACCGCAAAGTTTGCTGAACGAATCGGAACATTTGCCGAAATACAGGAGAGATCTGGTGGCAAAATTGAAGGTGTTGAGGGCTGAATTGAATGCTCTACAACCTCAGAGTGGGCACTGTAGGCTTGAGGTTTCCAGGGCGGAAGTTTTTGAGGAGAGTTACAGGTAAGTTAGATGGTTCGTCAAGATTTGTTTTCATTTTTGGCTTTATTTCTAATATACTTACTGTAGTGTTTCAAAACCATACTGTATTCTCTTCAGAACGTATTCCTCTTATGAAAATAAGACAAACGGTTTGTATAAACATGGGTCCACAATTGCTTCCTTATCAAGATGTCCCATACATTCAGTGTTGCGAAAAAATTAAATTACTTTACTGATTTGGAGTTAATTGTTGAAGTGAACCATTGCAATCACTTATCACGAATTAAACTTATGGAAAATGTTGAAAATGTGCAATATTGGCTTATCACGTTACTTGATAATTTAAATTTCCTAGACAAGTGATAATTTTTATTAAGTGAGTGTAAAACAAATAACTGTATAAAGATATAGACTTCCACAACACAAGACATTTCACTAAACACCACTTTAAAGGACAATGTTAAAAATCTGAGGCTGAACAAGTTTTACCCGATCTTACGCGGATATTGCCTTTTGGACGATTTTCCCCACAGAATGACTATTAGAAGTGTATTTCTATCAAATACAAGCCTATTGGAATCATTTAAGATAGCTACAAAAAGTTCCGGAGTGGGGCAGAAATTGACCGATTTTTAACATTGTCCTTTTACTATTAAATTAAACTTAATAGAACAAAACACTGCACTATATAAATTCTGTTTTGATTCCAGTAAAAACGAATACTTCTCATAGAAAGTCACAAAATTGCCTTAGCTTATAACAAACACTTCATAGACCAATCAATTGAAAACTAAAATAAATGTAATAAAAATATTTGGTTACTCTCTTCACCGAATTAATGTTGTTTTCCCGTCTACCGACTGTTATATCACATCAGATGGATTGATTTGGTTAGATATTATATAGTTTACTTAAATTATGTCAATGTCAGAGGTCATTTACACTCAGATTCATAAACTAAACATAGTGCTTTAAAAAAATAAATACTTTTTTTTTAAACCTGAAATGATTTTAAATACTTTACGTCTATCAGAATTAGTACCTAGGTATTCCATTTATTATTTGTCAGGGTTATTCACATAATATTCTACCTTCTTTATCTCTTTTGCCGTTCTACCTAGGGAAAAATTATAAACATGAATTGTAGAAAATTTTCTTGTGATCTCAATGAAATGTATAAAAGAACAATTTTGTAAAACTCCACGAATTCCATGGACATCTTGAATTTACCCACTGTAAAGGTAACGAAGTAAAAAATGGCAAGATATAATTTTGGAGGTAATGAACAAAGTTTAAGCATATATAGACAAAAGTGGCTTCTGAATATGGGCAGCTTCCTGCACCAATTTACATTCTTCAATGGCTTCATGATTAAACATATGCATTTAGCAAAAGTATATAGAATAATATAATTTTATATTGAGCATCTTATTTTCTTCTAGATCTTAAGATTTTATAATTTTGCGAATTGGATGAAATTTTTTCGAATAAAATTGTTACGATTGGTGTTTTTTGATCGTACACCAAGTTTTGCAATAATTTTTTTTGGACAAAGAGTGACTCCAAAAACAGCCTATTTACAATAACTTAGCACAAAATTTTTAATGAATTACGAGTTTGCCAAAATGGGCGTCAAGGTCGAATGACCCGTATTTTAAGATAGAAGGATTAAGGACAAACATTTATACAAGAAAATATTTTGAAATTTAAACGATATACTGCAGGTTTGACACTCTATTCATTTTTTTTGCAGACTTATTATGAAAATGCGTCCAAAAGACATGCGAAAAAGACTAATGGTGAAGTTCCGAGGCGAGGAGGGTTTGGATTACGGCGGTGTGGCTCGAGAATGGCTCCACCTCCTCTCCAGAGAGATGCTTAACCCCCAGTACGGTTTATTTCAGTATAGCAGGGACGATCACTATACTTTGCAGATAAACCCCGACTCCTCCGTTAATCCGGAACACCTTTCATATTTCCATTTCGTGGGTAGGATATTGGGAATAGCAGTTTTTCACAACCATCAGCTAGAAGGGGGATTTACTCTTCCGTTTTATAAGCAACTGTTGAACAAACCGATAACGTTGCAGGATATCGAAGGAGTGGATCCTGAATTGCACAGAAGTCTCACCTGGATGTTGTAAGTCCCATCATTATCCTTTGTATCATTTAGAAAGATTCGTCAGTTTGATTTATGATTTTTTAAATTAAAAAACAAATGGATTCATATCTAAATTGTCTGCATAATTACATACTCCTTGGCAAATGTCTTGGAGGCCAGATTCCAAGTTGATTCCAGTTTTCAGTCTTTGATAGAGTAAATCCTAATATTTTAATCCACAAATTTATTATTGAAATTTGTGAGCCGCTTTTTAGGCCAATCAATAGAGTGAAAAAAGAGGCTGTTTTACACTTAGATATTACGGCAAATTTCATGTATTTCCTTTTGAAAAATACTTAGTAAATGAAAACCCAAGGGATTTCCCCAGCAAAGTCGTGAACAATTTCTGTTAAACAATGAAAACTGCAAAAAAATTAAATTTTTTTGTTTTTTTTTATAATATCTCGAATAATAATGGAATCATCTTACTCTCAATAGGACTTTTGTAGAGAATAAAAAACCTAGAAAATGTTTTTTTTTGCGACCCGATCGGCTAGAGTCGGGTAGCAGTAGTGTGGGAAGCAGCGAGTGGAGGACTTTGGCTCGAGCGTACTTTCGATCGTTTCGGTCGACTTTCGAGGGCATTTTTAGCATATTTCCCATCACCTAGGCGAAAATCTGAGATATACAAATTGAAGATTTTGTCGTCTACTTTCAGATGCCATTCTGAAAATTTAAATCAGACCATTTTTGATAAATCACCATGGTGTGCAAAAAAAGACCCTAATTTGTTTATAATGCAATTGTGCAAAAACTATGCATCGGACAGAAACCATCTTGCGCACGATCAAACTACATATTATTGTCTGTCATTTTCTGCAAGATTGTTTTTCCAACTTCAAATTTGACGGAGTTAAGAATTTTTGAAAAAAGGTCTATTTTAAGGGTTTTCCGAATTTTCTCTGAACGTTTCTTGATAAGAGAAATTATGGATTATTGCTAAAAAAACATTTTTAACTTAAAAGAATGAATAAAAAGTGAATAATTACTTATTACATTGATTTTCAGCAGAACGACAAATTTAAACATTCCGGGCACTAGAAAAAAAAATCGCAGTATTTTGAGATTATCAGGATTTCTTTAGGACACTTTGAGGTTGAAAAGTTACAGTCGATATCCTTAGTTTATTTATTATTTGCAAAGTTATGCCAAGTTATACAAATATCCCTATATGATTTTTTACCTTTTTTCTAACCAACATTTTCACTTTGAAAGAATTTTTTTTATCAAAAACCCATAACTACGAATTGTAGAGAATACTATGTAGTTTTTAAAACCCTGCTTGGATTTTCTGTACGACCATTATTTCCCGAGTAATTGATTGCCATAGTCAAAAATGATTTTGTTGTTTTGATCGACGATAACTCAGTGACAAATAATCGTACAAGGCTCCGAAACTGCTCAAATTGAAGAAAATTAAATTATCTAAAGGGGCTTTATGATGAAATTACAAAAAAAATTTTTGAAATCCAAAAAAAAACAAAAATTTACAAATTTTAAACTGCAGATTTGAAAACTAGACATTGAAGCTTCAATTTCCTTTTTTTGGATTCTCCGACCTTTTCCCTCCTAGTTACAGCTCTTTGAAAATCACCCAAAATTTTGGGATTTTTTTAATATCCCTTAATTTCTGTGCCTAGTGTATTTGAAAGATTTGGCCAATATTGGCATTATATTCAATATAATTCCTATAAAGGTTCAATATACAACTAGTAAGTTTGGAAAATTAATATTCTGGTAATGTCGGACTCATATTAGGTTTATATTTTTCTAATATGTTTGTGCTGCTGGGACTTGTTAACAATTTCTTGTATTACTTTCATCTCTTCCGGTGCATAGGAAATAAAGATTTAAAACTATTTTATAAAATTAAAACAATAAAATATCTCCGTCTACTTTCCAGAATTGAAAATTTCCTGTTCTTTTTAAAGCTACGAGAGGATATGACTCATTTCATGTCTGTAATCTTATTGCCCCATGGTCATTAGTGACCAACAATTTTTCCAGTCACTTAAATCTTTTTGTTTGCTGTTCTACTTTTGTAATTTAGTAATTCTTATGTAATTTTAATTGCATTTTATTTATTTTTTTTTTTATAAATTTTATCTTAGAGCAGGACTAAACTATTCCCTTCGTAGATTCGACTCATTAATATCAATTCTCTCCCTGGATTGAAATGCATTGAACTTGTTCATGATTCTGATTCCTCTGTGATGGTATAGAAGTTGATATTGCACACTCAATTCATTCGATTCTCCATTTAGTATGAAAATCATTGATTCTATTTGATTATTAAGTATTTCAAATAGTTAATATACTTATTTATTTTACACAAAAGTAGTAGTTGAAATTTCTTCCCTGTTTTGAGTCACATTTAACTAACGTAATGTGACTTCCACAATTCTTGATTCATAAACAAATATATTCAAAACCATGCGATATCAAAACCAGATTCAGACAGCAGAATCGGAATCATATAATCACCTAGTTCTCCTTCACGCACAAATCGTGTAGAAGTCGCCGCTCCGTAAATTGTAAACCTAACATCTAAGGTATGGACTTCCACGCCAGTATAATTTGTTTGAAATAATTTGTTTGGGAATGTCAACCATAAGCTATGTGTCTTCAATCTTCATGTCTTCGGAGTAAATAGATGATATCTATTATTTCTTTTAGGGAAAACAACATCGATGGTGTGCTAGACACAACGTTCTCTGTAGAAAACAACAGCTTCGGAGTAGTGAAAGTTCACGAACTCAAACCTGGCGGCGCTGCGATAACCGTCACGGAAGACAACAAAAGGGAGTACGTCAAGCTATACGTCAATTACAGATTCATGAGGGGCATCGAGCAGCAATTCCTGGCCTTACAAAAAGGGTTTACCGAACTCATACCCACCTCGTCACTTAGGCCGTTCGACGAGAGGGAGTTGGAGTTGGTTATAAGCGGCATTGGATCGATCGACATAGCGGACTGGCGGTCCCACACCAGATTGAAGCACTGCACGCCAGAAACGCCCGTCGTACAGTGGTTCTGGCAGGCCGTCGATTCTTACTCGGAAGAGATGAGGGCTAGGCTGTTGCAATTCGTTACGGGCAGCTCTAGGGTGCCTCTGCAGGGATTCAAGGCACTGCAGGGTAACACGGGCGCGGCCGGGCCCAGGCTTTTCACTATTCACTGCGTGGATGTTTCTCCGCAGAATTTACCCAAGGCGCACACTTGCTTCAACAGGATAGACATACCTCCGTACGAGTCTTATCAGGTGTTGTTGGATAAGCTGACACAGGCTGTCGAGGAGACCTGCGGTTTTGCTGTTGAATGATTTGTGAAGAGGTAAGTCTTAATCTATTAAATTCAATACACTTTTGAAAATCAATAAAATTTTAAGGTAAACTTTGATTAAAAAAAAAAAGAAAATAAGTATACAGGGTGTTATTGAACGTATGTCAAATATTTTTGCCACATGTCCGTTATGTCAAAATGAGGTAAATACAGGTATTTGTGTTGAGTAAACTGTAATTTTAAAATCTAACTCATGTCAAAATTACAAGGAGCCACCTTTTGAGAACTGCCGATTTTCGTAGATGTTCGATGTACCACCATTTGCTTGCACACAAACTTCAGCTCGACGTATCCAATTTGTTTGCACATGTTGCAATATTGCCATGTCCTCTCGAATCGTATTACAAGCTTGGGCAATATGATGTCGCAGTTGTGGAATACACAACACTTTTCACATATCCACACAAAAAGAAGTTTTGAGTCTTGGAACCGGGGGACTATCTCATTAGGCTACCGTGGCTTATGCAGCGATTGGGAAAAGTAATACTTAGAAAGTCACACACTCTCCGTAAAAAGTGAGCTACGTCTTCCAATAACTCTGGCAAGTAATTTTGCAAAAAAAATCTAGATATAAGCACCGCCTAAACATCTAGGCAATTCAAAAGGTCCTATTAAAGAGTCATTAACGATACCGGTCTGCATGTGCACTGAAAACTATTGCGGAAAGACACAGTGTTGTGGACGTTACGTACACCATTTCGACTGAAACATGCTTCATCTGTAACAAGTATTTGCGCTGTAAATTGAGGATTTCTTGCATGTTCTTGACATTTAAGATTCTTAGTGGTCACCCTGGGCCACCGTCGTGACCTCGATGTGGTTGTACTTCACTGGTGTTCAAAACTCTGCGCTATAGCAACAAATGTTCGCTGGAATTTTCATTTGCTTCGCCATAAATTATGATCATATCGTAATACTCGCGATTGCTAAATACAGTAGGCGCTCGCTAATCGGATATGTCTTAGACCATTGTTGACGATGTACTGTTATCGCAACATAAATAATATGTTTTAAATTCTTGGTAATATAATTGAATTCGAAAAGGATGAGGTCTCAAAATATGTTTATGTTTTATTTTTCTGCTAATACAAAATCTTGTTTTTTGTCAATAATTTTTCTTAACTATCACAGACCCTAGCTGATCTGATAAAAATAAATAAATCTTACAAAGATAAGTAATAAGACCATCACTACAACCATTAAGTTGTCCGATTATTTGAAGTAATCCAAAATATCAGAGTTTGGCATTTAAAAACACAATTTGATTAGGCTATAGAGTTTAATATAAAGTAGGGTACATTGAAAAACTATACTTTTAAAATTAAGTAAAATAATATGTATTATTTGTATGTATTGTGGGGTGAAGTGCAATGAACTTGCTTTTGTCCGATTACTGAGCCGTCACCCATCAAAACCATCCGACTATAGAGCTGATCGTTCCCACACGAAAAGCATTCAAACTGTCTGATTACTGGAAATGTTGGACTATTGAATGTCCGATTAACGAGCGTCTACTGTAAATGCACCATTTTCAAAAGAAAACTTGGAAAAACGGCTAATAAATGTACTCTCGAAAAACAGCACAGCAATCACTACAACAATGTATTACAAACTGATTTTCGAATAGTCCGGCTTCTAGTGATGTGAGTGAAAATATATAACAAATTGATATATATCAATTTTTGATACATATCAGCTATTATATTTTTGTTAATAGCTGATATATATCAATTTTCCCGCCATTTCATGAATAAAGCCAAATTTCAAACATAACCTTACATTTTAAAACTAAAAACTTGTGGTGTGGTAGGCTTGAGTTGGACTGTAGTAGCTCTTGGGTACCTGGAATATCTCCGTCAAAAATGAATATAAAAATCTGAAATTTTAGGGGTGTACTATANGAGGATTTCTTGCATGTTCTTGACATTTAAGATTCTTAGTGGTCACCCTGGGCCACCGTCGTAACCTCGATGTGGTTGTACTTCACTGGTGTTCAAAACTCTGCGCTATAGCAACAAATGTTCGCTGGCATTTTCATTTGCTTCGCCATAAATTATGATCATATCGTAATACTCGCGATTGCTAAATACAGTAGGCGCTCGCTAATCGGACATGTCTTAGAGCATTGTTGACTGTACTGTTATCGCAACATAAATAATATGTTTTAAATTCTTGGTAATATAATTGAATTCTAAAAGGATGAGGCCTCAAAATATGTTTATGTTTTATTTTTCTACTAATACAAAATCTTGTTTTTTGTCAATAATTTTCCTTAACTATCACAGACCCTAGCTGATCTAATAAAAATAAATAAATCTTACAAAGATAAGTAATAAGACAATCACTACAACCATTAAGTTGTCCGATTATTTGAAGTAATCCAAAATATCAGAGTCTGGCATTTAAAAACACACAATTTGATTAGGCTATAGAGTTTAATATAAAGTAGGGTACATTGAAAAACTATACTTCTAAAATTAAGTAAAATAATATGTATTATTTGTATATATTGTGGGGTGAAGTGCAATGAATTTGCTTTTGTCCGATTACTGAGCGGTCACCCATCAAATCCATCTGACTATGGAGCTGATCGTTCCCACGCGAAAAGCATTCAAAACATCCGATTACTGGAAATGTCGGACTATTGAATGTCCGATTAACGAGCGTCTACTGTAAATGCACCATTTTCAAAAGAAAACTTGGAAATACAGCTATTAAATGTACTTTTGAAAAACAACACAGCAATCACTACAACAATGTATTACAAACTGATTTTCGAATAGTCCGGCTTCATAAGAAACCTACAAACTTGTAAAAAGTATTACAGAATTTTTTATAAGTACTCGCCGCGATAAAATACTTGTACTTCAGCAGTTCCAAAATAGTTATAAACACATTTTTAATTAGCTTTTTTTCTCCATGACTTTGAACTTCTTATACAAGTTTGTGACATCAATCGGTTTCCTTTCCCCCCCTCCCCCTTTAAATTTTTGACATAAATTCATTAACACCCTGTATAACATACAGAGCCTTCATAAATGTTTATAAGCCAGCTTAGGCAACCCAACATTGCACGACTGGTACTGTTAACGAAAAATCCCTAAATCTTAGTGTTACCAATATTAATTATTTGTTTACAATGAACAGTGACAAAACGTTACTTCTAGGCTCGAGATAATGCGATCGCTGATTGGTTGAATAGAACCCCGTGAAAAATTACATTGTTCACAGCCGACTGTTTTTTTTTTATGCAATCTTTACCAAAATTTAATTGCCAACTTGAAGGAAATAAAATTACTATTCCAAACAAAATTACTGGTCACGTGGCTTGTGACTTATGAAGGCTCTGTATTTATAAAGTTGTCATCAAAAAATAATTTTTTATACTTTTTGTCTTTAAGCAGTAAATTCCTGAACTGAGTTGAGAATGGTTTTAAAAATATCCCAAAATTGAAATTCCAAATTCCTTCTTCAATTGTCTTCCTAGTAAATTTTGAATTGGGAGTCAAAATTCGGAATTTCTTCTGTAATTATCCGACAAATCTTAGGATCATTTTTGATCTTTAAAAAACTCTAAAATTAGGATCCGAGATTTCTTCGTTTATAAAATTGTGGGAAGATCTTCAAAGAATTTCAAAATGAGGTAGATTACTGCAATTTAGGACATATTCTCTGATCATAGATCAATTCTGTGATAGTTTTCAAAATTATCCCAAAAATTTCAAAATTGGATTTGCTTTTCCAATCATCGAATAAATTCTGGAATTATTTTTTTTTAATCCAAATGAGAGATCTGGAATTTCTTAGCTCCCCATAAATTTAAAGAAGGGCTTTTGTACCACCAAAAAAATTTAGATTGTCAATTTCTTTAAAATAATTTTAAAATTGTCTTCAAAAATTTCAAAATGAGAACTAAATTACTGCAGTTGAGAATGTCTTTTTTGATTGAAAAATTAAGGTGATTTAGGATTCCACGAATATCTATAGTAGGATCATATTCGATGCAACGTATATAATAAATGCCTGTCACGGGATCCAGTGCAGTGCGGTTGTAAGGGGTTTAGAAATTGAATAATTTCTTTGTGCATTATGAAGGGATGAAAGGATCAGTTCACGTCTGGCACCTCTGTTCCTACAAAAATCCCTTTATTCTCAAACTATTTTGAATGTAATTTATTATAAGTCAAATTTGTTTTTTAAATTCCACATATGTATTACATTTTACCTTTGTACGTGCCTCTGTTGTTTACTTGTTTTTTGGAGGCGATCTCTGATTTAAGACCAAGCTCGCCAGGTTAGTATTTGACGTATAACCGACCACTTCTATGAGTTACTACGAGAATACAGTGCATNAGCAAGGCATTAGCAATATAAAAAAACTAATTTGAATATAGTTTTTTTTTAACAAAATTCATCTGATATATATAATGATATATATTTTGATATATATCACCCAAAACTAAATAGCATGCTATTTTACATCACTACCGGCTTCATAAGAAACCTACAAACTTGTAAAAAGTATTACAGAATTTTTATAAGTACTCGCCGCGATAAAATACTTGTACTTCAGCAGTTTCAAAATAGTTAACACATTTTTAATTAGCTTTTTTTCTCCATGACTTTGAACTTCTTATACAAGTTTGTGACATCAATCGGTTTCCTTTCCCCCCTTCCCCCTTTAAATTTTTGACATAAATTCATTAACACCCTGTATAACATACAGGGCCTTCATAAATGTTTATAAGCCAGCTTAGGCAACCCAACATTGCACGACTGGTACTGTTAACGAAAAATCCCTAAATCTTAGTGTTACCAATATTCCTTATTTGTTTACAATGAACAGTGACAAAACGTTACTTCTAGGCTCGAGATAATGCGATCGCTGATTGGTTGAATAGAACCCCGTGAAAAATTACATTGTTCACAGCCGACTGTTTTTTTTTTATGCAATCTTTACCAAAATTTAATTGCCAACTTGAAGGAAATAAAATTACTATTCCAAACAAAATTACTGGTCACGTGGCTTGTGACTTATGAAGGCTCTGTATTTATAAAGTTGTCATCAAAAAATAATTTTTTATACTTTTTGTCTTTAAGCAGTAAATTCCTGAACTGAGTTGAGAATGGTTTTAAAAATATCCCAAAATTGAAATTCCAAATTCCTTCTTCAATTGTCTTCCTAGTAAATTTTGAATTGGGAGTCAAAATTCGGAATTTCTTCTGTAATTATCCGACAAATCTTAGGATCATTTTTGATCTTTAAAAAACTCTAAAATTAGGATCCGAGATTTCTTCGTTTATAAAATTGTGGGAAGATCTTCAAAGAATTTCAAAATGAGGTAGATTACTGCAATTTAGGACATATTCTCTGATCATAGATCAATTCTGTGATAGTTTTCAAAATTATCCCAAAAATTTCAAAATTGGATTTGCTTTTCCAATCATCGAATAAATTCTGGAATTATTTTTTTTTAATCCAAATGAGAGATCTGGAATTTCTTAGCTCCCCATAAATTTAAAGAAGGGCTTTTGTACCACCAAAAAAATTTAGATTGTCAATTTCTTTAAAATAATTTTAAAATTGTCTTCAAAAATTTCAAAATGAGAACTAAATTACTGCAGTTGAGAATGTCTTTTTTGATTGAAAAATTAAGGTGATTTAGGATTCCACGAATATCTATAGTAGGATCATATTCGATGCAACGTATATAATAAATGCCTGTCACGGGATCCAGTGCAGTGCGGTTGTAAGGGGTTTAGAAATTGAATAATTTCTTTGTGCATTATGAAGGGATGAAAGGATCAGTTCACGTCTGGCACCTCTGTTCCTACAAAAATCCCTTTATTCTCAAACTATTTTGAATGTAATTTATTATAAGTCAAATTTGTTTTTTAAATTCCACATATGTATTACATTTTACCTTTGTACGTGCCTCTGTTGTTTACTTGTTTTTTGGAGGCGATCTCTGATTTAAGACCAAGCTCGCCAGGTTAGTATTTGACGTATAACCGACCACTTCTATGAGTTACTACGAGAATACAGTGCATATGTAGCGGTATTTCAGATTTTACATTCAATTTCATTTTAAAATTTGGTTTGTCTTAAGCGTCCTAAAAAAGACGACACGATTTTCCTTTGATAAAAGACCGACAAAATTTTGCTCTACTTTGCATCCAATACAATCCTACTATAGTCCTAATATGGTGACGATGGAATTTCTTAATTGTAATAAATTTTGGGATAGATTTTAAAGTCCTTAAAATTGGGAGATCTTCTCAATCTTATCTTTTTCGTTGAAATAATTTTGGAATAGCATTAAAAAAATCTGTGTATCCTAATAGCCAATTATTTTGTGTTGAGTAAATTGTTTTACGAGGCCTCATAAATTTTCAATTTCTAAAATTATTTTACTTGTACCTAATCGAGGATTTTTCTTATAGGAATAGCGAAGATTAACAAAGAATTCTTGTATTTCAGATGGTGGAGGCGTCCATTCTGCATGCATTGGTTGTTCTTTCTCATATCATTTTACATAGCTGTGGTAGATAAGAAGTCTGCTTTAAAGACTGTAAAGAGTGCCTTTCTGCATACTGCTCTCACGGTTTTTTGGATCACAAGTGCCTATCATGCTAGTCAGTATTTTACAAACACACAAACACCCTAGGAATACTTTTCCCTTCTGATTTCCGTAAAGAAAAAAAAAGATATCACGCCTGCTACTATTTCCTACATCTGGGGAGATCGAAAAGTGATATAATACGTAAAAGGTACAAAGCTTTATTCTAAACGGTTCACACCGCAACAGTTTTGGTTATTCCAGCGATGAGTGCTAGTTGTTTAGTGTGAAGGTAAATTTGTTGTAGAAAAATTGTTATGCGGTTAATTAACTTGAAAAGTTACTGTTTTGAATGCAATTAGAATGTTTTCCTTTAAGTACTACGAAGTGGACTGAATTATTTTGATCCAGAATTTCGGCTATACACTTTTAAAAGTTGGTTATATTGTTTGTACAAGTAATTATTTAATGAAGGTTTTAATGTAGGAGGAAAATTACATCACAGTAATATTTTATTATCAGTTTGAATAAAATATGTCTTGAAAAAAAAAAAAAAAAACGTGAAAGTTTGCTGAGGGTATAATTTCAATATTTTTTTATTTTTCTGGCAGCAATTCTGTTTCATTCATTTTCAGTTAGACTAATAGTGTTTTCAGGTCTTATCTGAAATCAGACTTAAAAATAAGGTTATGATGTCTTTGCGTCAATAAAAGCGGGAAAGATCGGTTTCAATTTAATACAGAGTGATTTCTCATTCAAGTTGAACAACTCGGTAGAATACATACTTAACGGCACAATTTCCCGATACTTTCTTCAAAACATAACCTCACATTTTTTTTTCGGTGTAACAATTTTCTTAAATTTTGTATACTTATTGTTATTGACAAATCGCATCTACGGAAAAGAAAATCGTAAGGTTTTTTAAAAACATCTAACGGTTTAAAGTATTTTCGAAAAAATGTACTTACAATGACTTCATAATGACAATAATTTTCTGTTAAAATCTCTTACTTTTGCATGTTTTATGTGGAGTTTCTTTGTTCAAAAGCACATAATAAGTTTGCTCGCATTTCACCGCTTTCGCCACGTTTCATCTTTAAAGTCCATGAACTTTCCGTCAGGAAGTACTTTTGACAGACAAAGTTCTAAGCGAGCTCTCTTATTCTTTTCTGTAAGAAATGGTTGGATGGTGCTTGAAACTCGTTTTATTGACTTTCTTTTTTTCAAAATTTGGAATAACGTAGATCTGGGAACTTCAACGGTGTGAGCTGCTGAGAAATATGTCTTAGTTTTTCAAATAATTTTGACAATTATTTTCGAAAACGCGTCTCTAAATTCTTGATATGGTTATTCTGTCGCACTTTAATTGTTTTTGCAGCTAATGTGAGTGCACCTTTTTGCAACTTTTCTGTTTTCTTTTGATGCATCAGCAACTGTACGAACGCAAGTTGATCTTTCCTTGAAAATTCTTTTTTTTTCATATTATTTTTACAATTGGTTGTTGTTTAACTGAAATAAAACAATTGATTTCGATCAGCGAATGAAATTAGAAAAATAGTTATAATTCGTAATAATTAGGTTAAGAGGGCTCTAATTATAGAAAATAGGTAACCAGCGATACATTTGCATAGATTTTCTTACACAGTTTGTCAAAATATGAATTAATGCACAAATAACAGACTTTCCTCCATTCTAACGCAGATTTTCTATTAAACGGGGGTTTTCTATAAAATTTACGATGCAAATTACAAATTTCTTTACAACAAAAAGTAATTTGAGTTTCAAACTAAGTCCATTTTATAGAAAATCTGCGTTAAAACGTGGGAAAGTCTGTTATTTGTGCATTAATTCATATTTAGACAAACTGTGTAATAAAATCTATAAAAATGTATTGCTGGCTGCCTATTTGCTATAGTATAGAGTCCTCTTAACCTAAAAATTGAAAGGTGTGTCAAAACAAATGAAATGTCGTAAAACATTAATTTTGATTGGAGGCTTTGCAATGTTACGCTACAACACACGCAAGTTTTTAATAACGACCCTGGACACTTTAGTGTTGCTTGAAAATGGATGAAAATATATTTAAGTTCCGTTAATCGATATCTAGGCCCCCGAACAACGCAGTAAATGCTCAAAATTTCATTTCACGTAGTTTAAAGCAATTGCTGTCTGTGGTTTTAGCTGTGCGGTGTTCCGATTAGAGCCAATAACTTCAAAGGAAATTTTCGCCCCAAATTATTTTTTTTAAGCACTTTGGTAACATGAACTTAACTTTCGAATACATAAACTATGACTATAAACACTTATATTAAAAATGGCCTTAATAATTTGACACCAACTAGTCGCGTTACATTTTAATACGAAAGTATATATATAAAAAATATCTATCTGTCCCATGTTACATCACTTTTAACACAATTTTATTAAAATTTAATCTGACTTACTTGAAAAGACATAATTTTCCTTTGTAAATATAGAAAAAAATGTTATACTGACGCATTTATGTATACAATTAATTATATTTATTTCGATTGTGATTACACTGAAAGAAATACTGTTGATATCGTGTAAATCGACACGAATTTAATGCATTTTTGTAAAAAATGGTCTGATCTAGGTAACAAGCAAAGCGGAATTGTGATTTCTTTATTTATAGAACGTGTACATACTATTTTTTCTGCACCTTCTTGTTAACGTTATTCCTAGAAGCGATAACCTATAAGCAATATTGTCACGTGTTATAATCTTATAAGGTGGCTACAATATTCTCGGAAAGACCAAAGAGTGTGATATGTCTCGATGCTACGCACAGATATACAGTGTGTTGCACTGCGTCCTTGAACTGTTAGCATTTGTTTTCTAAGTGTACTTTCAGTCCCATTTTCGATGTTGTGTCTCGGTTGCCATTAAATATGGAAAATTGTGGTTTTTGTGAATGTTGGCCACTTTTTTGAGAGAAATTTTCGTGTCGAAACAGATTTTCTGTGGGTTTTAGTTGTGAAATTATAGCAAAAAATTACAATTTTGTTATTTTGGATCACTTGCCGCGATAGCAGTTGGACGTACTCCTGTTCGTTCCTATTACAGCTTTTGACCCATGGATTAAGGTTATGTTTTTTTTTTTTCATGAAAGACACGGTCTAGTTAAAGAGGGGGTGTTTTGGGCTTTTCAGAAATATACAGTTCATCAAACGTGTCTCAAAAAATTAGGTACAGCCATTTCTTTTATTCTAAATTAAAAAATAAACGAAGGTGGCTATGACTAAACAGAATCTAAGGGCATCTTTATATAGTTGGCCTTGGAGGAAAACAAATTACAATAGTCAGGGGTGTAAACACAAAATTTTTATATTTTGGGATAAATACAGCAAACTACATATTTTTGGAAAGTGTAGATTATCTTCTTAGCCAACTATGATTTCCATTTAAAAAAATGTAGTAAGTTGAAAACCGATAAAGTTATTGGCTGATTAAGTACTCCACTCTATTCTACGTAACAAATCTGTGAAATAAAACGTCAACGTTTCAGAAAAAAGTTCAAATGTAGCCACTACAAGAGTCTAAAAACATCATTTTTATTTTGTTGACAAACATAACTAAAAAAAACACAAAAATTTGTCTTAAGCGGGCTCTATAGCAAATAAGCAACCAGCGATAGATTTTTATAGAATTTATTACACAGTTTGTGTAAATATGAATTAATGCACAAATAACAAACTTTCCCCTACTTTAACACAGATTTTTTATAAAATGGACTTAGAAACTCAAATTACTTCTTGGTGCAAAGAAATTTGTAATTTACGATGCAAATTACAAATTTCTTTATAACAAAAAGTAAGTTGAGTTTCAAACTAAGTCCATTTCATAGAAAATCTGCGTTAGAACGGAGGAAAGTTTGTTATTTGTGCATTAATTCATATTTCAACAAACTGTGTAATAAAATCTTTAAAAATGTATTGCTGGTTGCCTATTTGTTATACAGCCCTCTTTTTCAGAAATTTTTTCTCAAAAAACTAACCTTTCAACATTAATAACCAAAATACTTCAACATGAAATCAAGAGTGGGATGCATTGTACATGGTACATGGTTATTTTGCTGAAAATTTACCAAGCAATATCGGAAACAGAACTGTTTCACTTCAACAGGGCTATTTTTCACGAAATTTTACTCGTTAGAGGTGCATTTCAATAATTATGTTGGCATCATTTGAAGAAGATTAAAATAAATTTACTTTTAATCATTCAATTCAATCATGACAATTTGGTTAACGATTCTTACAATTTCATCTAGAAGTAAGCACAATCATTTAAAATGTTTGCATATCCACAAAGTAAGAGTCACGATTGAAGGACGCCTATTCCTTTGTTTATCATGAACGTTCGTTCTGCCAGTTTTATACTCACGACACCACTTGTACACATTACTGCGATTCATCACACCATCCCTATAAACATTTTCGATTTCGTAAAAAAATCTGGAGCGGTGCCTTTCCCTTTGCAAGAAGAAACAGGATTACGCTCCTCACCTTGCAGTTGGGGGGATTCAGAATAGCGGCACTCATTTCAACATGCCACAACAACAATAGTTCGCAACTGATAGACAAATGAGCGCGCCTCTGCTCCCAACACCTTGGCCTTGGTTGCAGTGTTGCCAACTTTGTTGAAAACAAACCACAATAGTCTTACTTTGTGGATATGTCCCGTACTTTCGTTGATGGTGTGTCTAAAACAATTCACAATATTTTCTAAGTAGTACCAACAGAACCTTGCAAAATAAAATACCACAAAAATATTGGCTTGGTTAAAATACAAATAGGATTTGTTTATTTTACAGTTTTTGCAGGTATTCTAATAATCAGAACTACAATTTGGGAACCCATATTTCTAAATTTCCTTTCACTCTCCAAGTACCTAATATTTTTCCTTTTGTAGACGATATATCTGTGCTGACGATTTCAAATGATCAGTTTATTTTAAAAAGAGACGGTTTTTGAATATTATGGCAACCTTATAACTATTTTTATAATAATTGCACAAAATAAAGCTAAAAGTTAAGGCATTTAAAGGTACAGTTAAGTTCACTATTGTATTTATTTTGTTTGATAACCACCTTAAGTATAACTATTACGATATTAAAGATGTGTATATGATTAAGCATTCACATTCACTTTTATAACTTAGTTACAATATTTTTTATGTTACGTTGAAAGATTTAATACTCTACTTGTAAATATTTCATTTGTAATAATTTTTTTAAACGATGCTGCTGTAACATATTGATTAGTGATAATCATTATTGTGGTGTAATGTTAAGATTTATTTGTATATTATTGTAATATTGAGACAAAATTATATTTTAAAATTATTTTGTAAAAGGTGTTTTATTTATTCTTTGTTTTGGTAGTTACGAGAGAAAACCCCTGAATTTTGAAAAAAATTGAATATTTCCCACAATATGTTCATCTCCCTCTTCTGCACATTCAAGGTTTTTACAAATAAAAAAAATTTTTTACAGTTGCCATTTTGTTTGTAGAATCATTCCTCGATACAGGGTGATTCAGTCATAATGTCTTAATTTTAACTACATATTTGGAAGGCCTAATAAAGACAGAAAATCGGAAAAAAAAATTTGACTCGACCTTTTATAAAAATAACTTAACTCCCGTTAATTCGCCACTCGACTTAGAGCGTTCGAAGTTCGAAGCAAAATAACTAATTATTTAACCAGTCATCTAGAATTCTGAAATTGGTTTCAAAATCAAAGTGCAGCAGATCCTAAAACTTTAATAGAAAGCTATGGACGAATGATTGTAAATAGGTAGGTACCATACTCATTGAATAGCAATAAGTCGCACGATAAGGTAGGTATATGTACTACAAACTAAATAATTAATTGAATGTATATGTACTACTAAAAACTTATATTCAGTTATAAAACGTAGTGAATACATTAACAATCTTAAAAATACTAAATAACCTAACATTTGAAAACAATATACATTTGTTTTGACAAATAAATGATACTTGTTAATATTTAAAATGCAAAAAAATTTCTTATTCATTCAAGTGTTTGGCTAAAAAGCTTCATTCATTGTTGCTCACTACAGATTGAAAACGTATTAAAAGCTAGGTTAATGACCGAATGTTTATGTGTAGGTCAAAATTCACTCTCGATAAAGCTTGTAGGTCAGCTGGTAACTCTTTTCATTAGCTTGATGTCAAGTAGATTTTTGGTGCCTGTAAAGGACATAGGTAACACTACATTATGGTATACCAACAAATTAAAACATTTAATACTAGGTGTTTCATTTTTGCTGTTACATTTTGATAACTTCAAACAGCTATAACTTTGTTAACTTAAATGGAACACCCTATATTTTTTTACTCTATCATATACATATGAATAATCATTGTTAGGTTTGCCGTTACTAGTTTTAGAGAATTTTCTATTTTTTGGTTAGTTTTTTTTCTCGTATCAGACCTGCTGTCAAATTGGCCATAACCAGAACACTCCCAAAATCAATTGAAATAGCATAACATTTGTCAAGTTAGTTGTCAAATTATTATTGGGTCTGAATATTTTCTGCCGAAAATTTAAATAAAAACGCCTTGGGATCATTTAAATTATACTAATGAGGATTATTTTAATTTGTTTGTTATTTATGGAAAATGTGACAAAGTAATTTCAAGAACATGTAGAGAATCTGCTGTTTTTTGCACAAATAATAAACAAATTAAAATAATCCTAATATAGGTATAATTTAAACGATCCCCAAGTATTTTTATTTAAATTTTCGGCAAAAACTATTACAGATATAATAATAATTCGACAACTAACTTACCAAATGTCAAGTTATTTTAATTGTTTTGGAGTGTTTCTGGTCATGGGCAATTTGACAACAGGTCTGATACGAGAAAAACATTGTCCAAAAAATAGAGAATTGCAAATATCTTTAAAAGTAGTAACGGCAACCCTAACAAGCTTATATGACTTGAAAGGAAATTTCAATCTGCATATGGCAGAGTAAAAATATACAGGGTGTTCCATTTAAGTTAACAAAGTTATAGCTGTTTGAAATTATCAAATTCTAACAGTAAAAACGAAACACCTAGTATTAAATGTTTTAATTTGTTGATATATCGTAATGATATCACACTCCTGAAAAGAGTTACTAGCATCTCCGCGGCCCCTTGCATTTGTCAAATTTTTTCTTTAGAAATTAATATCACAAAATCTATAACTCCTAGGTATAGGGAATATTTAATAAAGTGACCCTCGAATGTCACGTAGAATCCGAAAATGCAATAATATATAGGGTGTCCCATTTAAAATAACGCAGTTGGTGTCGACTTCCTGTATAACCGGAAGCGCTGGAGAGTTGTAGATATTTTAGTTGTGGTCTCCCTAGGAACGTTGCTATGTTGCTAAATTTTCAAATATTTCGGAGCAGTAATTTCCTAGATATCGATCGACGCAGTTCCTGATGGGACACCCTGTAACTATAAATATGATATTAGAAATATAGAAAAGTTTTAATTCAATTTTTGCCACTTATGTATAATGTTAAAATTTGAAATACTGCATGTTAATGCATATACAGGATGAGAAAAGTATCACAGCAATTTGTTATAAAAGTGAATTTTTAAGATATTATTTTTGAAATAGTTTTTATTAAATTGGCAAAAAAAGAGTAAAGAGACTAATCTATAGTAGGTCTTTTTACCCTTTCCAATTATGAGTAGAAAGAAAAGACAAAATGAAAAGTCATCTACAGTTACCAGGTTTGAATCCTCTGGAATTTTTGTATATGACATTCGGATTCCTGAAAGTAAACAGGATATGGGTATTAATAAACGGTGTAATTAAAGCACAGTTTAGCACAGCAAATATTTTTAATTTTCAATTAGTAATGATTTTCAAAAAAACAATACAGGGCAAGTTTTTTGTCACATTATCTCATTTTCTGTTAATATCTGCAAAGGTAGGCATTGAGAAATGGTATATTGGCGATTAAATATTATGTTTTGCGGTGCGCAATTTTTTTGTGACACAGAAAGAAAAAACCACAAAATAATAAGCGGTTTTATATAAACTACTCAACCGGCTGAGCACTTCAAAATTATTATAATAAGGCAAGTGTAGACTGAAGGTCCTATTACAAATATTTTATCTACTATTAAACTAATTAATATTTTTTTGAAGCCATAGTGTAATTTGGTTTTACTACTTTTTTTTAATAAGAAATCAAATTTGACATTGTCTTGAGTAGGTACGTAACACCTACTACTAATAATACTCAACAAATATGTGGCCAATAATTTTCCACAAATTTCAAAAATTCAAGTTATATGAAGCAACTAAAAAATAATTTTGGAAACATGGGCGAAAATTGTATTTTCGTGCCACACCTTATACTTCTTGTGGAGGGTAGTTTGGTTTCCTCGGACATGAATCTCTACTCTGGCCCGGATTGGCCCTGTGTAGAATGGTTGGAGACACTTTCGTGGTTCCAGTTGAAAGGATGAGTGAAAATATGGAATCTGTTCGGAATTTGAAATGACATTTAAAGATACTTCATATGATAAATGCTTTGTAGGTTATATCTCAGTACAACAGAAAAAAATTCAAAATGAGTAGTTTCTTTCTCAAAATAGAATAAATGATATATTTTGAAAAATGATTTGTGTTTATGTATTCAGTGATTATTTTATTGCTTACTTATATTTAAAGATAGGTAGTAGACTATCAAACTTACCTTTTTTGACTTTTGCTTTTATATCTTCTAATCATATGATGGTTAGAAAGAAGAGGCAAAGCGAAGTAAATGTCACCTATATAGTACCTAATAGATCTTACACCGAAGGACATTTTTTTTATGAAGCTGTTGCAGCGATTATTTGACAAAGAATTGCATCTAAATTGAGCCTAAAAAGATATTTTAAAAATACAAAATTGAAAAAGAACTATTTCACTATCAATTTTGTCTAATGTGGTTTCAAAACTTTTACATTTGAAAATTGGATATATTTTGTTGCCTGATGTAAATACAAACAATAAATAAATTTCCTGTAAAACTTAAATAATAAATAAGTGTTAATTTACCCTTTGTTTTTATATATGAAGCCTTCACCAAATTTTATTCAAATTTTAAAAATAATAAAAATAGAAACATCAAGTACTTTTAATATATTTATTCTTTCATTGTGAGAACATTGTAGCAAAATACATATTTATTTTCAGTTATAGTCGTCATACAAGGGCCGTAGGTTGAGAGAAGTAGAGTAGGTCGTTATGGCTTTGCCCTGACTAGCAAGATATTTACCCCATCGGGAAGATAAATGTCCTGACAGGAAAATCAGTCACCCCTTCTGCAATTTTCTAACTACAGCCCTGCCTCCTACTAGCACTAAATTAATGTGTATATTTTGATTAGTAAATGATGGTGGGAAATCATTGCAACCATCCATCTACTGGACATCTATCACCTTTTTTCTTGGGTATACATTTTGCATAGGTCATATGAAAAACTGTGGCAAAAACTAAAGCCACTGTCATCAGCTTCACGAAAGTGATCTGTAAACAGAAATGAAATATCATTTTCTTATTTTATTCCATACAAGAGATAGAGTATAAGTATCCAGACACAAAAAAATATTTATTATACAAGGTGTCCCATAAGCACATGATCAAAAAGGTACTGCGATATTCTTTGGCTCAAAAGAAGACGATTTGACCTAACTTCCATTAATAAAAAATGTCAAATGTCAAAGTTCTTGAAAAAAAATATGTTTTTTTTGTAATACCTGGAGAATGTTACGATGGATTTTTAATGAAACTTGCTGTGGACTTGTTCCTAAGTAAAATTCATGTTTTGATGAAGCAACCGCGTCCATCTGCCTTGGGTAGTGGTAAATTCTTAAGTGTCTTGGTACAAGAATTATCAGAACTTTTTATTTGGTCGCTGGAATTAATTCATTTTATTTTTATTGATGCATTAGTCCTTTTTCGAGATTTTCCTGCTTTTGGTAAAACCTTGTAGCATTTATAGTTTTTACGCAAAAAATAGTTTTCTGTTTCGTTGCGATTTAACAATTTTAAAAGTATCGCAGTAAATCTGCCCTTTTACAAGAAGCAGCTTTCTGTAATAATAATTGCCAATTCTTTTACCTAGGATATCAATATTGAAAGTAAAATGGTCGCAATTTTAAAGTCTGTCGCAATGCGACGGATTGAATATCATTTAACTTCATTAGATTTATTTTTTATTAACACTCAAAAAATGTAAAGACGTACTTAGGAAAGACAATTCTTTTTATTGTAACTGGATAATAGTTGCATAGATACGATAGATGATGATGGAATTACAAGACATGTTCGATATGCCCCCCATTTTCCTGGATGTATAGCTGGATCCTTCGATTCAAATTGAATTGAGCCATCCTCAACATTTTTGGAACTTTCCGTATTACGTCCGCCTCGTTTTGAATCGTACGCAATAAATCTTCCTGGGATACCACAGGAGTAGCGTAAAATTTATTCTTCAAGGCTCCCTATAGAAAAAAATCTGACAACGTTAAGTCGGGGGACCTGGGGCGCAATTCGACATGAACATCTCTCCCTCTTCTTCCGATCCACTTGTGTGGAAAAGTATTATTTAAATGTGCAGTTACATTTGCACTAAACTGCGGAGGAGCACCATCGTGTATGAACCACATCTGAGCACGAAAATCGAGAGGGACATCTTCCATTAGAACCGGAAAAGTTTACATCATAAAATTCAAATAATTTTCGCTATTCAAGCGGCGTGGCATGACATAGGACCCAGAAGGATGTTACCGATGATCCCGGCCCAAACATTTATTGGAAATTCCACCTGGAAGAGGTTAATACGGCTCGCATGAGGGATTTCTTCTGCGTAATGGTGAATAAAATTGGAAATTGGTGAAATTTGGATCGCGTGCCGACGCTCCTTAAATAAAGGAGCGAAATTGAAGTCTTCTCTCAAAATGGCATGGCAAAAGCTCCTGAATAGACGTCGCATGATAAGGATGGAGAAGCTGCTGTCTTATTATGCGATTAATTGTACTTTTTGGTACGCCAAATAACACTGTCAGACGGTGAGTACTGACATTTGGATCTTCAGCGACCCTATTTAAAACGTCTCCCTCAACGGTTGCATTTCATACTTGAGGACGACCCACACAGTCAACGGCTCGAACACCAAATTGCCCAGTCTCCCGCAAACTCTTTTCAATCCATGTAAATCGGTAATCTGGAACCCGTCGATTTGGGTATCGTGCCGCATAGACGCGTACAAAACCCTAAGACTGATCAGTCGGTCATCTCTTCATTAGAAAACGCCATTCGGAACGAATTGATTGACAATTCATTTATTATAAATTGACATCATCGCTTACTACGATAGTAGTAATAATACTGAGTAGATGTTGTACTTGAGTAGTAGTGATAATGATTGTCTAAAATTGAAAAAAAATTTTTGCGTAAAAACTATGAATGCTACAAGATTTTACCAAGTGTACGAAAATCTCGAAAAAGGACTGATGCATCAATAAAAATAAAATGAATTAATTCCAGCAACCAAATAAAAAGTTCTGATAATTCTTGTACCAAGACACTCAAGAATTTACCACTAGCCCAAGGCAGATGGACGCGGTTGCTTCATCAGAACATGAGTTTTACTTAGGAGCAAGTCCACAGCAAGTTTCATTAAAATCCATCGTAACATTCTCCAGATATTACAAAAAACATTTTTTTTTTTTTCAAGAACTTTGACAGTCAATAGCAGTGGAACCAGACATTTTTTCTTAATGAAAATTAGGTCAAATCGTCTTTTGAGCCAAATAATGTCGCAGAACCTTTTTCATCATGTGCTTATGGGACACCCTGTATATTATATTTTACCAAATTCATTACAAATAAAGACTTATTAGATAGATAGACATTCTACATAGACAGTGTCAATCTAATATGAAAAGAAAAATCTTTTAGAAAAATGGCCGGCCCGCGAAAATTAAACTGGTAATATTTTGGTAATGAAGCATATGGGACCTATACCTTTTTTTAGGGGATGATTTCTACACTCACATAGTGAATTTTCATGGCAACATAATTTGGAATGAAATTATCGAAATAAATTAAAATGGGGACGGCCGACCTTGAAAACTGAAAAACGATTGCATACATAATCGCAAAATGTTTTTTAAATACAATCATGTTTTTTTTATTTTCTGCAAAATAGATTTTTTTTATAGTGCAATACATTTAAATTTGAATTTGATATTTTTCATTTTTTAAAATGCTGTAATTTAAAAAAAAATTTGTGAAAAATAGGAGAACTCCTGCTCATACCTCTCAGTTGATCATGAAAAAAAAAAGCATTTTGTAAGTACATGTGCAATCCTTTTCGAGATCTCAGGGCCTGTTACTCCTATTTTAATTTTGTTTTTAACGAATTTCGCCATAATTTTTTTTGTTACGAAAGTTCTCCATGTGGACACAATCCCCTAAAAAGTGGCATGGGTCCCATTCGATCTTCATTATCAAAACATGACCACTTTATAATTTTGGCGACACGAAATCCTTTTTTTTTTTGTAGGTTTCAGTATCTACAACAGATTTAATATGCCATTTATTATTAGAAAACTACTAACTACTAACTAATTAGACTAATTAGAATTAACTACTAACTCTTGGATAAAACTGATCATTTCGTACTTGCCTATGTTGTCATTATCTTTCTTTTTTTTTCAAAAATATATGTTTAACCCATTTTCATTACTTGCTATTTTATAAAGCATTGGACACTGAGATAGAAAAAGTTTAACAGTTACATTTGGAATAATATGGGAACATCAATACATGAAGTCAAATAATATGCAATACTTACAAGTTTCATTTTTTTACACCACTAATCACAACACTGAAAAGAAGAATGAATAAAATTTGTTCTTTGTAAATAAATTTATTGTAAATTTCAAGGTAAACAACTATATTTATGCATGTAGGTACTCGTATGCCAATATAATATTAAATCTGTAGAAACTGACAATGAATATTTTCCAAGTAATGTCGCTGAAGACGGAATCAGGATTGGAAATGGAAAATTAATTATTATAGTGGGCCAGTTAAATAGTGAATACAAATGTATAGTGATACAAAATTTATACTTCTTATAATTTTTTTAAATATAAGAAAGCGTCAATTATATCCTAACGCTAAAAGTCCTGAGCCAAGGGGGCTACAGGGCATATATAGATAGGAATAAAAACAAAGGTAAAATCTAAATATTCTTGAAAATTAGAAAAGGTATAATAAATATTATATTTTAAGGAAACGCAAAATATGTCTAAAAGGCACAAAGGAGAAAAAAAATCATAAAAATTGGGAAATATTCGTAAAATAGAATAGAAGGCATACCAACTGACAACAAGGAATATAAAAACTCCGGGGTAATATTAGACTTTTCTTACCGATTCTGATTCTGGTTTCAGGCATACGTCAAAATATCATATTCATGTTTGACTGTCCAAAACACATGATTTATAAAGTTTGCCTAGACAATGATAAGAGATGGAAAAAGTCAGTTAAATTAAAAACTATTGTAATGCAAAATCCTATCAGTTCTGTCTAATCTGTAATCTGTCTATCTGTACTAACAAATATGGTAAATCAGGCAATAGTTTAATAAATTATGTAACGCATACAATTATTTATTAGTATTACCTCAACAGTTAATAATTGCAGGTGTTATCCACCGAGTAAAAGATGAGAAAAATATATTTCCGAAAGGAATCGAAAAATGAAATAAATGTTATTATTAGTCACTCTAAAATGTATAATTTTTAATTGAATTACTTGGAAACTCTTTAAAAATTAAAAATACAACTCGTTGTATAACAATGTTTAAACATTTTCCTATACTTATATGATATTTCAAATCAACATTGATATCAAATAAGGACACATTCATATTCGGAAATAGCCAATTATAATAGTCAATCATCAATCACGATTTTAGGCTTTAGAATCAATTTCTACTGAAGTGATGATGTCTCGAAACTGGCTTTTATATGATAAAGCTGTTTATATTGACAATTTATTGATCAACTAATCGGTGAAGTCGCTTCATCAAGAAATTGGACAAGTGTAATGCACCAAATCAGCTGTCAAATAACTTCATCAATTTATTCATCAAGTTCTTGACGAATTAGAGCATGTTCTAATTTTCGTCAATTTCTTCGTGAAGTTCCGAAGTACCAACCCAACAGATCTCCAGCCTCAGATCAGTAATGAGGTTATGTTGTTGGAATACGTAAATAATTGTGTGGCGTTGTGCTAGTTTTGCATTATTTTTACTGATTTGTTATTTACAAAAACTAATATTTATATAATATGTGTCAGAACGGTACCGCTGTTGCTACAATTATGGAAAGGTGACATTTTTGAAATTTATTTGCTTCTTTGATTCATTGGCAGAACTGATTCATACGTCAAAAAACTTGACAAAGTCTGTAGCAGTGTAAAACCACACTGTTTATCAATAAATTCGTGAATTAATTGATGAAGAACTTCGTCAATTTATTGATGAATAAATTGTCAATGTAAAACAGCTATTAGGGCATTAGACCCATTAGACTAGGAAAATCTGTTCCTGTTTAAGAATTAAGATACATTTTGAAAACACGGAATACACTGCATAAAACGAAGGTGGTATATGACTTCACTTATGTAATGAATATACTTTTTTGTGATGAATAATATATGTAACTTAATAATAATTAATAGCTGATGAAAGATTTTAAATATGTTTATTCCCAAAACATTTTTACAGGAAATTTACTTTATGAATAATGACAATTTTCCCTGGTGGCAAAATCTTGCACAAGGCACTTATTCAAGACTGCTGTGTACCTACTGCTGAAATCAGCATCAGGTTTACTGCAAGATTCATTGTGCAATTGTCTTGATCAAAGCTTTCAATGGATTTGATTCAGGCTACTTGACCACAAAGGGGTAAATTAAAGCAAGCGACTATGTTGCAGACTTACATTAGAATTAAGTAAGACATATTGTACTTGACATACTAATTCACCCCTTTGGTCTCAAGTAGTTTTGGTTAAGTCTGGTGCAAGTATTGTAAAAGTATATTGCATAAGAAACGATATAAATTTCAGCAATAGACACAAAACAATCTGACACAATTTGGGGCGCTATAGGTGCAATAGTTTTCGCACAATTCTATTTGTTTATAGCGAAGGCTTCAAAAGTTATGAATTTTAAGCCTCTGTACAGGCGTTAATTTTCAATCAAACATGATTCTGAAACTGTCATTGTAATCTTAAAGACGCAATTAAGCGACCTATTAAAAAATATCACCGTTTTTTTGACATTAACATTCTCAAATTGTGCATTAAAAAACCGTGCGTTTTTCGCTTATAAACAATTTGAATAACATTGTTGCTATTTATGCTATCTCACCGAAAATAGATGCAATGGATAGCTGGCAAAAAAATACAGTTTTAAAATAAAAAAGTACCCTCTACGACCAACAGGAGCCAATTGTTTATAAATATTAAGACTTGAATTTTTCGCAAAATAAAGTTTACGACGTAAACTACGATTTCCCGTGAATTGCATTGAAAAATGTGGAAAATTAACGACTCACGAGCCCTTTAAAGAGAAGGTACTCGCTAAGTAAACTGTCCGGCGGCCGGCGGCGTGGTGGTGGGGGAAGTGCGCGCTGTAAATTTTGCAATATCTCGGCTTCTATTCATCGTAGAAACTTATTTTTTTTTTAAACTGGGGTAGCTCGACGAAAAAATAACAATGGGCATATTTACGAATTCGTAGAATAGCCCTGAACCCCAGAAAAAATGCATCTTTTATAATTAATTTTTTTTAATTTACAAAAATGTCACAAAAATTATTGTTAAACGAAATATTAATTAAAATTTCAATTTCGGAATTATTTTACTATTATTAAATAAATAAATGAAGCTATCGTTCATTTAAAAAGTTATTTCTTTTACATATTAAGGCAAAGTAAACTTGTTTTTTCAATATTTTGTTAGCTATTTAATTACGATTTAAATGTAAAATTAAAGTAAAAATTCACAAATTATTTTCAAATTATTATTTATTGTTAAAAGATTTAAAAAAGAATAAAAAGCATTTGAATTTATTGCAAAATTCTCAAAATTAAAAAATATTAAAAATAACGCGGTCGATAAAATTACAATTTTAACTTCCTGAAATTTTAATATATAAAGTTTTTTTATTATATTTATTACTAATTTTATAAACATAATCAAAATTAATTCAAAAAATATTAATCACAACCATTTTCAATAATAGATATAAATAATGCAATATAATACAATTTAAAATTTAAAATTTTTTCTATTTTTATGAGAAATAATAATTTGAAAATAATTTATGAATTTTTACTTTAATTTTACATTTAAATCGTAATTAAATAGCTAACAAAATATTGAAAAAACAAGTTTACTTTGCCTTAATATGTAAAAGAAATAACTTTTTAAATGAACGATAGCTTCATTTATTTATTTAATAATAGTAAAATAATTCCGAAATTGAAATTTTCATTAATATTTCGTTTAACAATCATTTTTCTGACATTTTTGAAAATTAAAAAAAAAAATAATTTTAAAAGATGCATTTATACTGGGGTTCAGTGCTATTCTACGAATACATAAATATGCCCATTGTTATTTTTTCGTCGAACTACCCCAGTTTAAAAAAAAATAAGTTTCTACGATGAATAGAAGCCGAGATATTGCAAAATTTACAGCACGCACTTATTTGAACTTTGGATTTAACATTTCTCGCCCGCGCGACCGCTTGGACGAGCTTCCCCCAGCACCACGCCGCCGGCCGCCGGACAGTTTACTTAGCGAGTACCTTCTCTTTAAAGGGCTCGTGAGTCGTTAATTTTCCACATTTTTCAATGCAATTCACGGGAAATCGTAGTTTACGTCGTAAACTTTATTTTGCGAAAAATTCAAGTCTTAATATTTATAAACAATTGCGCTACGATTTAAAAAAAAAA